CAGTGACGCTAAGCAAACACCGTCGCGTGGCATGCAGAAGTCGTGTGCTCGAATGCAGCGGATGTCCGGCATCACAGGCGGCCGGAATGGCGGGATGGCTCGGACGACTCCCCGCAGCGGTGGCTCCCGCTCATCAGGCGTGTACTCCATTGACGTCACTGGTCGCCAGCCCACGCTCGCCCCCCCCCCCCCCGCCCTCAATCAGAGCTTGTCAATCCAAGTAATTGGGACCGGACTTTCGAGCGATTCGACAAACGGGACCTCGCTGACGACTGTTCAAACGGCTCGCTGGGCCGGCAAAAAGGCAAATCGCCGCCCGGGAGCTGCAGCGATGCTGCCGGGGAAGAGCCGAGATCTGGCTGGGGAGCGCGGCGCGATGGAGGTCCAATCGCGCAGCGCTGGGCGGCGGAGGTCCGGTCCGCAGCGCTGCCCGGTGGACGTCCGGTCGCGCAGCGCTGCTCGGTGGAGGTCCGGTCGCGCCGTGCTGCCCGATGGAGGTCCGATCGCGCTGTGCTGCCCGGTGGAGGTCCGGTCGCGCCGTGCTGCCCGGTGGACGTCCGGTCGCGCAGCGCTGCTCGGTGGAGGTCCGGTCGCGCTGTGTTGCCCGGTGGAGGTCCGATCGCGTTGTGCTGCCCGATGGAGGTGCGATCGCGCAGCGCTGGGCGATGCAGGCTCTGATTTAAGCCAATCCAGTTCGTGTGACACGACCTTGTTTCGCAGAACCCCCTAAGACTGAGGGGTGTCCCAGCGTTCGCCAGAGCCTGGGCTGGCTTGATGGGGCATCGCCGGCACCATGGACCGGTTACGGCCGAGCCCGTAATGCTGGCAAATCAACGGGCTCCGGACGGACCCGGGCTCTTGGCTCTAGATGATACCATGTCAAGCTCGCCAGCTAAGGTCAATCTAAGTAAAGGACTCAACATGGACTTCATTTGAACACCACTGTTCATGGACAAGTGGGGCGAATCATGTAATTCGATAATTTTTTTAGCTGGGATCAGGAGGAACGACACTTGGAAACGGTACCAATTAATTGTGGTTATGCCGTGGAAACACAGTTGGTGCTTGAAGCCTTTTCCGTAGCTGTCGGATAGTTTTAAGGCCGTGGCACGGGCACAGCTAAGCGTCAAAATCCTCAGTAGGTTACCAAATCAGTAGGAACAGGTTCCCAGTAAAACCTCCAAACACCTGTCGGCGGCCGGAAAACTAGTCGGCAGAATCGTTGTGTGAACAACACTATTGACAAGGAAAAAAGGCCATTAATTTTAAGTAGTTATGCTTAAAATAACCAGCCTTCAATAGCCGGGCATATTGGCCCAACGATGATTTCAAGCAATCCTTAGGAAATATCACGAGAATGCTAGGCGCATTTAAAGGTGGTGGCAGCTGACGCGGCACGCGTCACCGGTGATCGTGAGGACTGCCTTGAAGCATTCACTTTTCTCGTACCATACCCCAGCGATTGCTTGACAACGTAGTTAAACCAGAGTCTCCTGATATACTGAAGGGCCGTTATTCTCGGGATAAGGACTCATAATGCCAAAAAATCAACAACTTAACGCCTCCTTTGCGTCCACCAAGCTCAAATCACTATCACATGTGTGCAAACACCTGGCCCGAAACATTCCGTGGAACTATTTACTGATCTGCTTAACCGAGTGGTGGCTCCATTTCCTTACATAACCGTGTGCAATGTAGTTTCGTGTGTTTACACTCGTTCTACAACACTGTAAGAAGTTCCTTAATCACTCAAGAAATGCGCAATATGTTGAAGAAACCTTGCTCCAGGGTTGTATCAAGTTGGAGCCGGTATGTGTAAAAACGTTACCAAACATGCCCACATGGTAAATTATTAACTTTTGCACCTTGCTGCATTAGCGTAGAACTGAAAACCAGTATCCTGCCTTACATCAGCAGGGTAGAACAGTTGCGTTGGTTTTTTGTTTGTTGGTTTGTTTTTAACCGTTTCAGCTACGCAGCCGAGTCCGGCCTCGCCCGCTTATGGTACGCAATGGACTCCAATGAAATCAGGCTGCGGCCGGGGTCAGTGCCCATGGGCCCACGTCCTGCTCGTGTCTGATCAGTCCTCGGCGAACACTGGTGTGATCGCACCAGGCTATTGAGAGCCTTCAAAGGTACACGGAACTTGAGAGTCCTCAGAGGTCCACGGGCCTTGAGGGTCTTCAGAAGGCGACAAGACCCGAGGGTCTTCAAATGTCCACGCTTCACAGACCCACGCCGCAAACGCGACTGACCTAAGTGAACGGGGCTGTGAGGTGTCCGGCCGTCCGCCCGTATGGGACGCGAGGTCGCCAGCTGTCCGCCCGTATGGGACGAGAGGTCGCCAGCTGTTCTCCCGTATGCGACGAGAGGTCGCCAGCTGTTCTCCCGTATGGGATATGAGGTCGCCAGCTGTCCTCTCGTATGGGATGCGAGGTCGCCAACTGTCCGCCCGTATGGGATGTGAGGTCGCTAGCTGTCCTCCCGTATGGGATGCGAGGTCGCCAACCGTCCGCCCGTGTGGGACGCGAGGTCGCCAGCTGTCCGCCCGTGTGGGACGCGAGGTCGCCACCTGTCCTCCCGTATGGGATGTGAGGTCGCCAACTGTCCGCCCGCATGAGCCGTGAGGTGTCCAGCTGTCCGTCCGTATGGGATGTGAGGTCGCCAGCTGTCCGCCCGTATGGGGCGTGAAGTGTCCAGCCGTAGGCGCGCATGGGCCGTCGAGTCACCGGCCTCCCGCCCGTCTGGGCCGCGCACGCGGCACACCAGGGAATCTCCCCTGGTCCCACGAAACGGAGCGACAGAACCACGAATTTGTTAAAATCGTGATTTATGAGGTCTCTCTTCACTCTATAAGGCGTAAATGACACCTCGGCATTAGATCTAAAAGACATTTACAGAGGTCGTCACATCGAAAAAGAGGTGAGCTGCTGCGTTGCGTGCGCTCGCAAGACGCGTTTGAACGGCACCCGAGGGACAGTCCAGCTCCAGCTCAGTAGGCGGAGCAGCGGAACGGCCCCCGGGCGGCCCACCACGGAGCGTGCCAGGCAGCACCGGCCGCCGCCGCCTGCTCAAGCCTAACAGCGAGGAACACGGTCAGCCGGGCAGCGGCTCCTCGAAACAGACTGACGCCGGGATAGTGCTGGACTCTGGAATCAGGATAGAAGTCTCGTGGAATGAATTGGCTTTGAGCTTTTTCTTGGCCGTAGTTCGAGCTTGCAAAATGAATATCGAGTGCAGCCAATCTTGCGCCGGGCAAGCAAGAATAAATAAAGCTTCCAATAGACGCACCGATTCCATGAGCTCTTGGCACGCCAAAAACCAAATATCGTGAGCCATGTGTATTTTTTTAATAAAGCAGAGCGACGTCCCCATAGCGAGGTAATACTTCAATAAACTACCGCCGCTACAGAAACAGGTGGTCAGGACAGATGCAGCTCGATTTACGAAGACACCGGTATCATTACCGAGTTAGGCACACCTTCATTGTTCGATAACAGTTGTAATCGACTGAAAATTGTCTGGTGCCGCTTTGAGACAGAGCACAGGTAGTCTGTACTTTCTGTTGAGCCGGAGGTGGAGTCGACTGCGCGGAAGGGAAAACGATCTCAAACAGTTCTCAAAATATAACGCAGTGAACTACGGGCCAAGAGCGCATTTAACACGCGGCGCAGCGGACTTTGGGCGATAGCAATACAACTTCAAAAGAGTTCAAGACAATCTACATACATCTACCACAAAGACAAATCTTAACACTAGAACGAACTTCCTTCAGTTAATAGTACGGCATTGAACTCGTATCAATGGTCGGCTGTCAATCAAACTTTAAAACCATAGTTATTGGTCTTGAAGTTCACCTTCCTAACTGACAAAAGACATTGCACCGCAAAAATACAATAGAAACACTGCGAACATATCGGTAATTGTTTGAGTATTCGCGTGAATGTGGAATGGACTAGCTCAATTACATCCTAGTGATGTTGTGCGGCGCGTGCAGTTGGTGTTCCCGTTTGCTCCTTTATTGGTCCTTCGGCATGATACCGATCTGACCTGGTTTTCTGTGGGTATGTCTGCCCCTGTGAACGGCTGGAGTCGCAAAAAACATGACCTAGTCGCATATGTGGCGTGTGTTAGCAGGGGCGTACGCAGGAATTCGTGATGGGAGGGGCACAAACTAGAAGTTTTCTACTGAAAACCACGTATAGCGCACAACTGACGCGCGAAAGTTACTGCCTGATATAAACCGGCATCGCGTGTTCTTAATCTGTTTATGTTCATGAGCCTTCGTGCCTACCCAGAATCGCTTAATGCTGACATGTGGTCGCGTACGTATGAATGCATGCAGCAAATTTGACTAGGGCGGGGCACGCGGTCACGGGTGCCACAATGCGCGTACAACTCGGTGTGTCAGTGTTAGCGCTTTTGGCTGACCTGGGGGTGTAAAATATACACACCCGGCGACCCACGTACACATCCCTTCCGATGCCGGATTCGGCGGTGTGATTTCCGACCCAAACCCGTCCCCCTGCTGAGACGTGCAGGAGATGATGCTCCGTCCAAAATGATGACCCATACGTGTCATCGTGGGAGCGACAGGACGCCACGCCGCGACTACGCTGGTTTCATATAAGTATGCGTGCTCCCGGCACTAGCCCGCGAGTACCTTGCCCGACCTCATGCGTTCTCTGCGACTGACCTGAAGGTATACTGGCAGGTTCCATCTGATCGCATATGTATACACGTCTTCCTTGGCTCACCCGAGCGTAAGATATCCGGCCCTACCTTCCGACTGTGAGTGACATGTCAGCCGTCAGAGAGGCCAAAGGGCACGCTATCCTGTCTCATTTGCTTGATTCGTGACTGGCTTCAGGGCACGGCACCGGGCCCCATCTGCCGACCGTCCCGACTAGTCCGAGGGCACGATATCCGACCCATCTACTCCAGCTGTGACTGACTTGGAAGCACGATGTCCGGCCCCATCTGCCACCGTCGCGACTGACCTGACGGAACGATATCCGGTCCCATCTGCTCGCGACCGGACGCCTCCTCCTTGTCGACGGCCGAGGCGGCAGACGGGGCGTCAGGCTTGCGGCGGCGGGCGGCGCCGGCGCGTCTCCTCAGGGTGACCAGCACGCAGACTGCGAGCATGAGCACGGCCAGGACGGCGCCGGAGAGCACGGCCGCCACTGGACCCGCCGACGGCGCCACGCTGAACGCTGTCGGTACACAGGGGCGTCACTGTGAGGCGCTGAACGCTGTCGGTACACAGGGGCGTCACTTTGAGGTGCTGAGCGCCGTGGGTACACAGGGGCGTCACTTTGAGGTGCTGAACGCTGTCGGTACACAGGGGCGTCACTGTGAGGTACTGGATGCTGTCGATACACAGGGGCGTCACTGTGAGGTGATGGACGCTGTCGGTACACAGGGGCGTCACTGTGAGGCGCTGGACGCTGTCGGTACACCGGGGCGTCACTGTGAGGCCCTGAACACTGTTGGCACACAGGGGCGTCACTGTGAAGTGCTGAACGCTGTCGGTACACAGGAGCGTCACTGTGAGGTGCTGGCCGCTGTCGGTACACAGGGGCGTCACTGTGAGGCGCTGGACGCTGTCGGTACACCGGGGCGTCACTGTGAGGTGCTGGATGCTGTCGGTACACAGAGGCGTCACTGTGAGGTGCTGAACGCTGTCGGTACACAGGGGCGTCACTGTGAGGTGCTGGACGCTGTGGGTACGCAGGGCCTTCGTTGTGAGGTGCTGGGTCGTATATATCGTCGGTATGCGGTGCTGTCAGGACAGTGCGCATCACACATAGGCGGGTAGTCTGTAACAGCGTGCCAATCGTCAGATTGGTCACACTGGCGTATGATAACCGTAAAGCACCAAATAAACTGAGTAACTTTTCCCTCAGCGTCCTACTCGGGCACGTCTCACCAGCTCCTTTTTGCTAGGTGACATGTGCGTCCACGAACGTACCAATAGCAGCGAGCGATCCTGACAACGCCTGACGTGGCCTGACCAGAGCGACCCAGACCTGCTCCCGTCGACTACCGGTGGCCGGACGCTGCCCAGGCATTGGCCGTGAAGGACGGCCCTGAGCCCCGTCGTGTAACGGGCAGGCCGGCGGAGTGCTGCTCCCCCCCCCCCCCCCACTCCCCAGGTGCGGAACTGGACCGCAAGATCAATACCCAGCACGTCCGGCCGCCCGCAAGATTCACGGGTTAGGCCAACGATGTGATGGCCACGGTTCGCCGGCCATGACAATTAAGGCTATGGTTAATAACACGTCTGCGCCTTAATTGATGGCTCCAGTCTATTGGTGGGTGAAATAAAGCACACTCTGGTCCAGTGCCTGGCGGAATTTGTGCTTTTGTTCATCTAACCTGACGAGGAAAAACACGATTGCTAATGGGGAAAGTGCCAGACGCCGCTGGAGTCGCCGAAAGTTTTGTATTGATACTCAACAAGCTGAATGGAAAACGAGCTCCCTGCAGTGTTGAGAACATTCTTTACATTACGGAGGTGCCTTCCCTGCCGACTGCACGAACGCTGGGCGGATTTTAGCGTTCTCGGGCAAACAGAACGCGGAGAAATCTAAATAGCATCACCCAACTTAGAAATGAGATTACGCCAAGCTTGAAAAAGAATACGGATTTACACCGGCACAATGTGCAAATGTCTTTTAGACTGTAAGCAGCATTTAAGAAACTTTGATGCTAAATAGCACAAGACAGTAACGTATTTTAAAAGCATCACAGGCTTACGCATGGGGGCACAAAATGTGCTTATAACACAGAGAGAGTTGTCCGGTAATCTCGTCCGATTTTCCGTTCTGAACCAACTGCACGTTAGACGTGTGCTTGAATCCCAAGAACATATCTCAGAACACAAAAAAAAACTTCGGAAAAATCAGGAGATGCAAGGTCTCAAAGGATGTTTAGAGAAATCAAGAAGATGATCCTGGATCCCCAAAAAACTTCGCTGCAATTAAAAACAATCAAAGATCCGGCAACGCTATTCATCAAAATACGAAAATGAACATCGGAATTCATCAAATCTTTCGAGCAAAAAATACGAATGATTTGAAATCCTTAATGATCCAAGACCAAACGAACACTGAACGAACCAAACACGTCCCTTCCTGACACAACCAAAACACATCTTTTCTAAGATTCATTCCATTTCTGGGGTCTACAATAAAGTAACAGCTTCTTGGCCCGACCGAAGTAAGTCAAGAACACTTAGTTGCATTCAGGTAAGGATCACTTACGGATATAGCAACCAAAATAAACTCAATGAGCGTCACTAAACACATTAAAATTTGTGAGAGGGCACCATGCACATGGATGGTATTCAGAATTTAGTCATGGGACCCAAGGTTGATGAAAAGTCAGAGAAAAATATAAAAAGAACCGCAATCGAGAGAATGCATGCAACTATTTCCATAATTATAAGCTCATACGCATGCATTGGCAATTTTGTTTCAGTACAAGAGCTGCACATCGCACTGAAAACGAACAAATTTTCCGCGTATTTCACCTCACCTAACCACACATACACCAGTCACACAAATGAGACCTGTTAGCCGCAAGCCGGCCCATGGCCCTGGGGCCTGCTCTGCTCTGGGGCCTACTCCCTTCCACTTTGCCTGCTCCAGCATTTTGCGAAGGTGCATAGCTAATTCCCGCGCCAAAATTAATCTAACATTCTCCTAGCCTGGGCGCAAGCTTGTGAAGCGTGGCATTTATAGACAATAATAATGAGTAGATGAGGTCCTCCTCTGTCGCCTGCCCATTGGTGGCGACCGACAAAAAAAAACCAGAAGATCTCATTAACTGGAATGAATAAGGCTGTGCTGAATGCATAATGTTTTCTTTCGATTGGTTTGACCTTGAGAGCAAGCCGAATCTGTGCAATCCATTTAATTTTGCGCAAGGAAAATTTCCTAAGGCCCCAAAACCTAAGTGTATTGATTCTATTGAAGAATGCCGTCTGGATTTACTAGTGCGTCACCCAGGAGTAAAATGGCACCTTCAGTATGAAGATGACCGCTCAGTCCGAAACGACGCGCTCCAGGCCTGAAAATGCACACCCAAGAATGAAGGGGCGCCCTAAAAAAGCTACGAACGCACTATTCAAGCCTGAAGTACCTGAGGTGCCACTCAAGGGAGATCACCTTCAAAAATAAAAGTGCGGTGCCGATCGGCGGGCCTTCTGTACGAGCGTTCACTCAACTTTTTAATCAACCCATTCATGTCCATACATAATACGTACGCCGCTGTGCACTACTAAAAAGGATTAGCAAGATAGCGTAGCAAGGAGGACAGCAAGACGGACGGTCGCAGTCTCGTCGGCGGCTGAAGACGGCATCCAGTCCACGGCAGTCTGACAGTCTGGCCGTCTGTCGGTCTGACAGGCGCCAGGGTCACCGACCCAGGGCCGCCCGAGCGGCACGCTCAGCGTCCAATCCTCGTGCCGGCCGTGGGAAGCGGCGCCGGCGGCGGGACAGGACAGAGCACCGCCTCGGCCTGGCACGCCAGCACGATTTCTCAGCCGGCCCGGGCGTGCCCGACTTCACACGGTCTCATGAGACGACGGAGCGGCTTCCGTTGGCGGAACTCGCCGGGGGGCGTCGAGCGGCGCGCGGTGTGGGATTTGACCGCGCCAACTCCAAGCGCGGCGAGCAGCGGCGCACCCACTCGCACGGAATAACCATCACCCAGCGGGGAATGTCCAAGTGATCTTTCCGCGTAATCGACGCGATATCGATCAGCGATCGTCTTAGGTTTCTCCGCTCGCGCTGGCTGTCGTTTGAAGGACACTTCGCGCAAGGCGATGAACAGAGGGGTTCACATGTGGCGCTACGAGGCACGTCATATCACGCACGGATGCGCTGTTCCAGCGCCAATCGCCCCGCCCCGCGCTAGCCGCGCCAGACCGGCCTGCAGCGTCGCCAGTCAGCGGCGCCGAGTGTTTTCATCCCCAGCTCGCCTCCCATCAGAAAATAACAAACGGCTCGCTTTATAGCAGCGGCAACGTCCACCGAAACCAAGACGAAGTGCGCCGCGGCCCGACCAGCGGAAGAGACCACCGGCAGGCTGCTGCGGCCGGTGTCAATGAGACCACTCACCGACGCGGTCCAGCATCAGCTCCAGCGTGCCGACCTGCAGCGTCGTAATCTTGCCACGGCCTTTCTCGTTGGCGGCGTACACCTGCAGCGTGAAGTTGACCCCGGCCGCCAGGCCGTCCAGCCGAAAGTGGGGCGTCTCCGAGGTCACATTGTGAACCAGCTGAAACGAGCCACCCCGAGTTACCGGGCCGCTGTTTGCTTGGCTGAGTGAAGCGTCAGCCGCCACGGGGTGCGACAGTCTCGGCGCGGCAAGACAAATATTGGCGCGCCGGAAATTAGATTGAACTGGCGGAGACGCTAAGACGAGCTGTCAGGTATTGGTGAGCTCAGAAGAGCTGACGTTTTGGCAGGGCTTCAGAGAATTGTTCCAGCGAGCAGACCACATCACTGCATCCGGACGATCACAAGCAGCGGAGAAAACAAACCGCGTCAAGGTAAATCTCCCCGATCGGCAAGAACTGCAATGTCGCGCGAGCTATCACAAGAAAAGCGTGGTATTCCCGTCAGAATCGCCGGTAGTTTCCATGGTTACTGCTGTGCTTATGATGGTCACGCTGAGGCCCATGCCAGCCCGCGCGGCTCATGGCACGGATAGAGGTAGATGTAGCCAAGACGTGATCCTTTTCAACGCACATACTCGGTGGTCAAACATGTTGCACCTTCGTCCCGAAATGGCATCTTCGATACCGACACTGTCTGCCTCTTCAGAGAGCGACGCCCTGGCGCGGGCCGCCGACGCACCTGCTTGTGGCGGTCGCGCCAGACGGTGAGCACGAAGTGCTGTCGCAGGCCGCCGCTGGGACCCTCCTCACAGGTCAGCTCGAACGAGGTGACTGTCTGGTTGTGAATGTCGCACTCACTGAGCTGACCCGGCACACCTGTGTCAAGCAGGTGTCCCAGCGGTCACACGGCCAGACAGACGGACAGACAGAGAAAAAAACAGACGGACAGACACGAGCGCAAAGTGACGGGCGGACAGAGAGGACACAGATACACAGTCACAAAGACTCTCGGACAAAGACGCATGCAAATACACACAGAAACACAGACAAAAGCAAAGACTGTTCAACAGGAAAAAACTTGTATGCAAACACCGACACAAAGAGGGGCGTGGCGTCAAGACAGGTTATGTTGACTGTCCAACCAATCGAAGCAGGCAGCTGCCTGCTGAAGAGCCGGCTAGTCCAACATCCGGCCTGAGTTCTGGTTACAGCGATCTAGAACGAAACTGCGTTCAGTCGAAAAGCTAGAGTGCCAAGCTCTTCAACGGGGCCCAAGAGCTCTGTCAGAGAAGACAAGGGGCTCGCAGCCCTTGCTCCCACAAAACGGTACTTGGCCCCAAAATGGAATTCCTTTAGTCCGTTGCCATTTGTGCTGCCCATGGCTCGAAAGAATCGCAGATGTACTACTGTGAGATGCAGCTCATGTTCTGAATTGCATACAACACATCAACGAGATGCATTCACGGCACCCCGGCAGTGCGCCTGACGTCCCTGAGAATAGGCTGTGTACCGGCCGCGTATCGGCTGTCTCTGGAGGGCAGAGGGCGGCCTTCAGCGTCCAGAGACGCCTCTGACCGGCACGTCCCGCCCACGCCCACTCAGCACGCGCCAATATCTCAACACCTATTACACTTCACGGCGACTTTGACAAGATTTAAGTTACGTGTATGCCAGCTTCATAAAATGGGGCCGCGGTGGCACCGTAAAATTTTATCCCCGCATTTATAGGCTCTCGGTTGCGTAACATGCCTGCCGACCCACCCGCAGGACGACGCATGAGGTCATTTTGCGGCCACGAATAGCGCGGCGCCAGGGCCACTTAAGACCACCCGCCGTTCATGCCATAAATGCTGGTTGGCAGCGCCGACGCACTGTCGCGGCCTGAAGCCAGAGCCTCAGCCGACTGTCCACACCAGACACGGGCAAACAGCCACTTCACGGCACACAGCAGGCCGTCGCCGGTCGCCACCAGCCCTGATCCAGCTCCGGAAGTCGTGGCCGCATCGCAATTAGATACGACGCTCCCGCTCTTCAGTAAGGTAACATGGTGTGCTGCCACTGCTAACCACATACACCACCAAGAAACCAATGTACACCAACCTTCAAAGCGGGCTTGTAACTCCCTATGACCCTGCCGCATGTAATAAATCAGTCCGCGATCCTACTATTGACCAGCACAAGGGGCTCATTAACTGAAAGGAAGCTCACCGTCTGTCGCGCAACAGAACGCGACACACCACATCCGGTCACACCACATCCGGTCAGGTGATCGGTCGCGAGACAAGGCGACAGGCCCCGTCCCGTCCACACGACTCTCCCAGTTCGCCCAGGTTGTCAGCTCGTGCCCTTGAGCGCCCGCCCCCTCCAGGTCGGCCCGGTGGTCTGCACTCACTGGCGGGCAGCATCTGGAAGACGCAGGGCTGCCGCTGCAGGCCGACGGCGTTGCTGCCGCGGCAGGCGATGACGGCGTACTCTGCCGAGCCGAGCGTGTAGCGCAGCACGCTGCTCCGGCCAGAGCTGGTGAACCTGCGGAAGACGTGGCCGTCCCGTCACCGGAGCGGACAGAACACACAGAGCGCAGCCAACCCTCCGCACCAGACGGCCACGGCCCAAGCAGGTTTTGCCGCACTTCAGTCGGCGCTTTTCATACTGGTGGGCAGAGGGTTTTAAGTCACAACCGTGGCATATCATGGGCGGCAGTCATCACCCTGAAGGGAATGATGGAACACGTGCATTGTTCACAACGCTTGCTGTGCAATACACGGAGTACGAATCGACAGTGTACCGATATGACACTATGCCTGAAGTGGCCTCCCCCAATCTTCTCCATCCGCTGCCGCCAAGAAAATTATTTGCTACCCTGCTAACCATTAAGACTCTCAAACTCAACTTCCTCGCTAACTTTGGCAGGGGAGGCCCGGTTTCGCTCGCGTCCTATTCACGCGGCCTGTTTGAGGACCTTTTCAAAGAGGAAGCAGATCCCCAGAGCGTGATTGGTCCTGGTATGGTGGCACTCGGCCGAGCAGGTCGGCCGCCGGCCGAGAAATCCATGAAGTCAATTAAGCCGGGAACTCACAGCACACAGAGAATGTAAAGTGATCCAGGAGATGCTCGCCCCTGCCTGCACACCTCTGCGCAGTGTTGCCCCACACACACTCAGTGGAAGCGCGCGCCGGCGTGGCCGGCCACAACCCGCCCGCCACTCGGCCGCACCCCGCCCACCACTCGGCCGCACGCCGCCTGACACCGGGCCGCACCCCGCCCGCCACCGGGCCGCACCCCGCCCGCCACTCGGCCGCACCCCGCCTGCCGCCGGGCCGTACCTGTTCACGTCGATGGTCTCGCGCTCGGCCGTGGATCGGTTGATGACCCACTTGAAGCGCACCTTGGCCGGCTCCGAGGTGACCCGACACGTCACTTCCACCGGCCGGCCCGGCAGGAAGTAAAGCACCTGGCTGGGCTGCTCACAGCGCGGCGCGTCTGGCGAGCGGCACAGCGCGGCGTCACCAGCGGACGTCAGCACACCAGCCCTCCGGATGACGTCATCGAATGACGTCACCGCACGACATCATGGCGCCACGGCATCACATAACACCGCCGGTCGGCACCTCTGCACAGTGTGGCTGACTAACGTCATCATGTGACGTAACTATTGACGTCATCATGTCACGTACGTGCTGACGTCCTCGTATGACGAAAATGACTCATGTCATCATATGGCATAAATGACGAGCGTCAAAACATGTCGGCACTAGTTGATGTCATCGCATACCACTCTCCGACGTCATTGTACGACGGCACCGTATTAGATAGTTACGTCATAGTAGCTTCTGACGTTCTTGCATCAGTACGCGTGCTTACGTCAAGAAATGGCTAAGCCAACTGCCGCTCAATGTAAACGTCAGCACATCACCCTATTAAAAAGCCGGGAAAGTTGGGGATCGATGCTATCAGTGAATGACTCCATCATCTGATACCAGATGTGATTGGCAACATTATTACCAACACCCCAGTGAGAGTCTCAGCGTTCGGTAAGGAAGAGCGACTGCATGGACCGCTGCGGACTCAATTAATACCGGCCCGACTTGGAGCGACGCTATGCTGCAGCTAAGTATGCACGTTGGGGAACATGTTGTCAAAGACGATGTCTGGATGCCAGGACAATTTTGATAGAAACCCGATGTCGCACACAAGTTGCAGTTAGTGCTTTCCGATCTGAAGCCGTCGAAGACAGGCAGCGGCGCATAGCTTGAAGGGCAGGTACCATATCGGCTGACCACTGTCAGCTATTTCGGCAGTCTGCGATTTGTCATCAGGAGACACCAAAATCACCGGAGTCTTGTCCGACTGAGAAACCTAACAACCACTTAACCCAGGAGTTACCGTGGTATTTGTAACGTTGTCATTGACACATTTCAGTCACCTTTTCACGACCCAGTCATGAGCTGGATCGGCGCATTTGACGTTTTCTCAGAGAAACACGACATCTGATGTGACGTTAACCCCAAAAGACCATCGAAAAGTCAATGAAAGTGATCAAGGTCATTATATAAGCGATCCAAGCTCAGAAATCTCCGGACAGGAAGATGTGGTGCTCGCTGTGCCAACTATCTCAAACGGTCCCAGGCATGCCTCTGGCACAGAACGCAGGCTGTAGCTGCCTGTACTCCTCTCCTGACAAGGATTTATGCCACAAACAAGCTTATCCAGCATGGGAGCAGTCTTCGTCTGAAACACTCACCTTTTGATGTAAACTGAGTGTCATGAGCATCTGTGCACTGATGATGTGACCAAGACGATGAGAGCGGTGAACGCCGCGAAGTAGCTAGCATCGAATTCTCTGAACTGGTATACTGTCCCGCGCGACATTGACGCATTGCGGCACAGATCCCTGCCGCCGGATCAGACAAGCGGACAATGCGACAAAGATTGGTGCACGCTCGATTGGAGCAGGACGCGTACGATGTGCATGGGGTCACGTGATGTAAGTTCTATGTGCCACTTAATTAGCACAAAGCTTGCGGCAGTATCACTGACTGCCGCTGGTTTGGAAACTCATGCTTTTGTGCTCCTTGAAAGAACAACACTGGAATCGGCGTTTTACCACCGTTGTTTACCGCTGCCTGATGCGCAATGCATTTCCACCACATTTGCTGCGACACGGTCGTTTTCTTTCGCCCTTAAAGTTTAAAAACTCAAACGCTACAGCCGGCGCAGAAATGGTAAAGTGACGTCACGCAGATGATACGCCGTCCAGACTAACTGGACATACCTTCACGCTCGCCTAATTCCCTAAAATGAGCTGTGGGTAACATCTTTCTAAACATACATCATCACACCATTTAGGGCTAACACACGCGCACACACACACACACACACACACACACACACACACGCACACGCACACGCACACGCACACGCACACGCACACGCACACGCACACGCACACGCACACGCACACGCACACGCACACGCACACACACACACACACACACACACACACACACACACACACACATGTACATATATACATATATATGTACATATGTGTGTGTGTGTGCGTGTGTATACGCATAATATGTAAGGGTGCATATGTGTACTGCACATGCGCGTGCGGGTGTCCGTACTGCGCTAAAATAAGTTTGGAGCGTCGCTGGCTACAGCATCCGCCATATTCCCCGCCACATACTCAGGACGCTGGCAAAACACTGTTCCTGGTAGTAAGCGCGTCGCATTTCCTGAATCCGGCGGGCCAGCAATTCGGGAGCGGAGGTTTAGACCATTGCAGAGCAAATGGCACGCGAGAATGGCTGGCAGATAGTGCCAGTCCACGCGCGCGTCTGTCAGAGGTGGCAAAACCACCGGGAGATTGGGCCTCGCTGCCGCATTTAAAGGTATACGGAGATGGCGACTCGGTAGAAGGCAATCACGTTTGTTGCGGATGAAAACGCCCATTGGTGACAGCCTTGGGCAGCTTGCAAGTTTAGCAGCCTTAATGAAGTCTGTTGGCACGAAATGCTGAGAAACGTTTTAGAATTTGTAAGGTTGTTGCGCAGTTCCTACTTATAACGAAGAAAGTGACAACATATTTTTGCTAGGTGCCGATGATATTATAGACGCGAGTTCTTTGCCGCAAAAATACAATATCAAATGCAAATTGCATATGATTTTTAACGCTGTATCCTCTAAACGCTTAAAAAGATGAGGAATTTCGCACGATAAACATCGTAAGAACTGCTTATAACCAATACCCCGTTTGCAAAAGCCTACACACAGCCAAGTTCGTCCCTTTGCACGTCTAGAGCAAGCATCCGACACAAGAAGTGCTACTGGAGACGAGTTAGCACGCAAACTTGTCCCGGAGCTCGACAAATGCAGAAGAGGCGGCGTTTGCGGCGTGCCAACCGCGCCGAGAACGGCGCCCCGGGGACCCGTTGGCCAGCGGCAGGCTGATTGGAGCTGAGCACAACTGCCCGGCCGGCCAGCTGCCTGTCCCGGCGTGCAGCCGGCGCGGGGAGGCTGGGCTCGGGTCGGGCACTGTTCGCTGCTCCGGCCAGACTGGACGGCACCGTGACCCGGGGCGGCGCAGAAAAACTGTGATCTGTCCAGCGTCCGCTCGCAGCAACCGGCTTAGTGTCGCTGAGCATAAAGTTACGCGGACATGCGCGCAGCTCCCGGCAGTCGGTGTTCAACCACCACCGCAGTCCAACCAACGGGCAGTTCAACCACCACCGCAGTCCAACCACCGGGCAGTTCAACCACCATCGCAGTCCAACCACCGGGCAGTCCAAACACGGACTGCCAGGCAGTCGGCGGTTGGCTTCGGGTATTCTCCCAGACCAGCCGCAGACAGGTTTCGCCGCTGCTCAGCGGGGCCTGAGGACGGGGACCGGGGCAGGGGAGGGGACCGGGGGAGGCGAGGTCGCACTCCAGATGTGACTCACAGAGCACGTGCAGCGCGACGGGCCTGCTGCGGCTGCGGCCCTCGGCGTTGGCCGCCTGGCAGGCGTAGTCGCCAGACTGCGCCATCGACACGTTCGGCAGCACCAGGCTGTGGGCGGTGATGATGATACCCTCCTGGCGCGACGGCTCCAGCCACCGGCCCTGCCGGCAACGGGGTGATGGGGTTCACATCTGTTGGGCTATCGTAGGCTATCGGCAAGACTCTAAGTTTGTAAGCTCTCTGAATCGAAACGCAACGCAGGTGTGCTTCGGGTTTCGTTACGTGGGAAAAGTATAATGGAACATTAATGGGCATAGGGCCAATCACTGTACAAGTCCCGAAATAACAACATATTTGGTGTGCTTTTTATTTGCATTTTTGACACCTTGGCCTTACCTTGAAGGGTATGTTATACATTTGAGGATATTGAAGCAAACATCATTTCTGGTGAAATCAGCTCACCTATAACAATTAGCATGTCTTTAACTAGAAAAGGCCGCTCTAGACAGCAATTTTTTCTGTTAAGTTGGTATGCTTCTCAACAGATCATTGCATGATTACGTCAACCTACCTCGCACAACATTGAATGACAACTATTTAACCGCCATTATACCTGGAAATCGTGCTCACGAACGCCAGATATGAATGACTTGACAGATCTATTTTTCTTGCCCTTGATTGCTGCATGGTCAAAGGAATGGCAGGTTTTGAATTACATTCTTATGGCGTCATGGGTGCTTGGGCGGCCTTGAAATAGTCTTCTCGAAATAATTTGCACATCTGCACGGCGTGTAGCTCAGAAACTTTTAGGTCGTAAGAAATGCAGGGCTGTGAACGGCACTGAATCATTTTTAAGAGGGCTATTCAAGCTCAAAACCCCTTACCAATGTGAAACACTCCCTTTAAGCCTGTCAGCCTGCCGCTAATTCCCCATCCCCTCCGTCATATACGGCGCCACAAAACGTCGGTCACCGACCTGGGCTCCATGAGTTTTATGGTGTTCAGTTCGCCCTCGTTATGAATCACCTAGGGTTATTCCTCACAGATAGATATTGGACGCCTTGCGTAAAATCATTCAAAATTCATCTCTATAACATGATAGGGTACATACATACAAACGCATCCATATGCACACTGATGCATGCACATGCATAGATGAGCTGGAGCGACCCAGTGTCTAAAGGCGGCAGATCTGCGCCCTGGTCTCCAGCCTGTCCAGCCCGACTGCCCGGTCCTCCCGACCTCAGCGGGACGCCCGGTCGGTCCGCCCCGTCAGCGCTGCCGACTGTCGGTCGGTCCGCCCCGTCAGCGCTGCCGACTGTCGGTCGGTCCGCCCCGTCAGCGCTGCCGACTGCCGGTCGGTCCGCCCCGTCAGCGCTGCCGACTGTCGGCTGTCGGTCGGTCCGCCCCGTCAGCGCTGCCGACTGTCGGTCGGTCCGCCCCGTCAGCGCTGCCGACTGTCGGCAGTCACGGCGTGGCCGTGGCCCGAGCCCAACCGACCTTTCCACTTTTACCACCCGCGGACTAACAGCCGGCTAACTTCAGCGGCCGGGATCAATGAAAAACCGTCGGGCGGCGGCGCGGCGGCGTTTTATTCCATTTGCGGCCGGCCGAAAAGCGCGTGTCAGAGGCGACGGCCTGGCCGGCCTGAGCAGGGTGCCAGGAAACACTTGGTCCGCGCCGACCCCAGCCGGTACAGCGTGTTTACCGGACGACGCAGCTTCGTGTTGTGCGAGGATAAGATGAAAACACAAGCCGGGCCGGTGCACGAGCAATTATGGTGTTGTTGCCACGCTGGTCGTCACGTCTTTTTCCAGGAATTTGGTAAATATTGACCAGGTTTGCGTTCCACGCAGGTCCACAAGCTCTTAACCGGACTCTGTGACGCAGCGCAGCGGCATATTTCCACCGAAGCACCGTAATATCGCTTCCTTAGCGGAAAGTATGCTGCCTGCGTCATTTTCGCAGCTATGTCGTCATTAAGGACACAGTGCGGCTTTCTGGCCGACAAAATGGGGCGCTGAAGGTTATGGGGCTTCTTACCCAGCCTACTATACCTGGACACTCAAACATTACCTCTCCTTTCCTATTGATCAGCTGATTTTTAGTTGAGATTTCCTTTGGCCCAGGTCACGGTAACGCACCAGACATGCGCAGACAACCAACAGCGCGTCCGTTTCTCTTTTTCAACTGATCTTGGCCGCTGTTCCGTGGCGCTAATTTAGCGAGGTTTGACGAGAGACGGTGGAGTGGGAGGAGCCTTCCCTCAATCTTGAAACAAATGTTAAACGGCATTAGGGCATTGCATGATAAACAACGTGAAAGCAATGTCGCTTCGAACCTCACTTCCCGTCTCCGTCGCATCCGATCATTCGCAATCACCGCGTACGGCTTCAGCAGCACTACAAGAAGCAGAAGGCTCTCCCGATCAGTGGCGAGCCACCCGCCTCTTCAGAGACCACGGCGTGTTATTTGGCGCGGCTGCGCACAATCTGCAGCACAGCGGCGGCCCGGGTCGGCCGCGGTACGGGGGAGCCAGCTGGGGGTGACAGGTGCGCCGCGTGGTCCGCTGGCGGGGGGGGGGGGGGAGGAGCCATCGCGACGCAGCCGATGATGGATGCCGCATTGATTCACCGCCGGGGAGCGCGCCGGAAGGGTGGTGGGCGCCGGCGGGCGTTGCCGCCGCCGTTTGGGAACGCGGTGGCCGAAAGGTGACGACGATCGTTAAGGAAGTTGGTTAGCCTGACCTGGTGTTTTGCATACCGTTTTTTTTTTGTTCCTTGATCGGCGATTGATGAAGCGTGCCGACAACAATAGGTGATGCATCACAAGACCATCATTCTTCCTGATAGAAAATGGTATCCGACCGTGAACCCATGGGTTTGAAGCGGGGCTCGACGATAAATACCCGCTCAGAAAAATCTCTCGGCGAAAAATCAAAGGGAAAAGTGGGCGGCGGACCAACGATTTAATCTATCTCACATGTTTGGGCTTAAATCCTCGGCGTGGAGGCGCATTTACTCTTCACGGAGTTCACAGAGGAAAGCACAGCTAAGCACATATCAAGGTTTTTGGAGGAATTCTACCACAAGTTAGATTTCAACTAGTGAGATTTTGTGTGCATTAGCCATCTTTGCCAGGATATGTAATTGGTAACAGAGAGTAACATAAAGGCATTACAAACCATGCGCACGTTGCAGCGAAAAAACAGGTACAAAACACTTAACAAAAAGGCCATGCCACCAGAAAATATATTCGTGGGCTAAACGGACACGTGGCAGAAGAAATTCGGAATGGAAATTGGATGTTGACTGCATTTATTTCCCATGACGTGCTTGTCCTCCAGCGCATCCGTTTTAATCAATTTTATTACTTATGTGGTGAGGTTTATGTGCCTCTTTGTCACGTGTTTTGTTCTGCTTTATTGCTGCCATGTTCTAGGCTTTTTACACTCTTGACATTCTCTTCGTTGCTCATTTTATACACTAAGTGCAACAAATACATCCGAAGGCTCCGCAACTGGCAATTTGGTTGCGGAGTCAGCCATCCGGAAACCTTACGTTTGCCTTTAACTCCACGTCATTTAGACATTTAGGCAGTTAAACACGTTCTAAATTGAGAGCAAACTTTACGGACAACAGGATCAGGTGACGGTATTAAATGGGTGGAGATGGGTGGAGATACAGTCTCAGTCTCCCAGTGTGTAACCACTGCACCCGGTCTGCGGGCGGAGGGAGGCGGGGAGAGGGGGGGAGGGGGCGCCCGGCGCTGCAGAGAGCCGGTCGTCTCACCTTGTGTAGCCACTGCACCTGGTCCACGGGTGGATGGGCCTGGATGTTACACTCAAAGTAGACATCGTTGCCCTCTCTGATTCGATTGGGATCCAGGTTCCGACCGAACTCCAGGGTCACGATGGGCTTATCTGGAACAAAGTTCGGGTTAATTATCTCTCTGGTTGAAACTTTGTCGGAGGGCGTAACTGCAGATGCACAGCTCGCATATCCGGCGCCAGACAAGCCTGCCTGCGTAGAGAGCTATGACACGGACCTCTAAGTGGCGCCGGCCATATGTATCAGTTATACCAGACTTATGAGACAGACGAAATGAGAGGTTTCAACCAAAACTCAGCCACGTGTAATATACAGACGTGCAATCAGGATGACCGAAGGGGCCATCCCCCCTGTTTTTACTTACTATGCAGGCTGAACATCAATGGATTAAACCCATGCATGACAATACATGCGGATGATTTATCAAAAAGGTGGGTTTTCTGCACGCCCAAGTTTTTGGAACGTTGTTTGTGCGCATAGCGCAACTTTGTACATCTCCATGACACAGGGAGTCGAGTCGACGATATTCGATGATGATGATGATGATGATTTGGAGGGGCAAAGTCGACGACATTCACGGCTCGCACTTCAGATATGACGAGCTCACATCACAAACGCACAGGTTCGACGTCACGCAGCACGCTTATTAGTTCCAGTAGGTCGGCTGGTTAGAGTGCATGCCTTCCGATTAGCCCAACCGTGGCGGGGCGGGTTCGAGTCGCTTTTGGCGCTCATTATTTGCGATTGACTGGATGGCCCGCGACCGGCGGCAGCGGCCGCGGTAAAGGTCAGGTGACGTCAGACAGAAGGCAAGACGGATCATGCTCGGCGCTGCAATAAGTTAAGCTTTCGCCGTAATATTCTGTCGTTGATCCGGGATTTTGCATCCGGATGGTGGGATTAAAGGTAGCACTATGTCACACTATGTTATAGCTGGCACAGTCATGTCTGATAATCTGCCAACTGAAGCCAATTTCTCAAAACAGCCGTTGATGTGTTGTTGTCGCATACTTCTGTCACATTTCCTATAATGCGGTTCCTCAAAGCAAAAAAAAAAAGCAATGCGACTTTCATTTGCAAACAACTAGGCGAAGAAAAGTCCACAGAAAACGCATAACCTACGACAAAAATGTGAACCAACAATTTTCCTTTAGTTTTTCATGGGCATGCGCAAATGTACGACAAAGCGGGAGGGGGCCACGGGTTTTGTGTTGGGTGGGGATGGCACGATTTTCCTGGTGACCTCCTGGACACTATAGAGTTTCCTCACAGCGGGCCTTTCGAACAGTCATATTGAAAGGGAGGGTGGACACTACGGGCATATGCACTTTTATGAAATTGGTACATGTATCACACATTCAATACAATCATGCGATTGATACATTGATACATGATATCGTGTAAATAAATGTCGACCACTCCAACTTCAAGATACAGGGACCTTCTGATTATTCAACAAAGGGCCCTTCCTTCCCAAAACAGAGTCTTGTGTTACAGACAAGGGTCTCCTGATGTGTGTCGACGGGCCTCCTAAACCAAACACGATATTTCTAATTCACGAAGGGAGCCTCCAAGCATAACAAGTTCTCTCGTATCCACAAACAGAGCATCCTGATCCGGAACCATGACAATCTGATGCATGAAAGGGACGTCTTGTCCCAGGAAAGAGGCCTCCTGGATATTGAGGGTGCCTCCTAAGCCAGAACAGGGGCCTCCTGGTTGGTAACAGGGATCTTCCGGACGTGCAAACGGATCTCCGTAACAGATTTTGCTTGGGGAAACCACGAAACTTTTCCATAATCAAGAGCTTAGGTGTTGGACAAAAGCGAAAGGTTGGGCACCGGACAGGCAAAGCTGGCTAGGAATAGGTAGCGGATGGGTATGGGTGCAGCCCTCAAGTGGTGGGTGGAATGGAAAGATTATGTTATCATCGGAGGCCTCTATCCTCGAGTGACGGCGAATAGCCTTTTCAGCTAGAGCTCAATTAAATATTCGTAAAACATTCAGAACAGCATTAGTAGCAACTCAAGCTTTCCGGCACTTCGAGTGCGCGGTCATATAGCACCGCGGAAAATATTCAGAAATAATTCCGCGCATACCTAAGTGCACACCGTTCTACTCCACCGAAGGGAGCATTAAAGCTGGTCTAGGCACCACCCCCTGCCGCATAAGCATGCCCATTGGAAATAAGAGGCAGCGCTGCCAAGCCAGTAAGCATCCTCTGTTCGTGGGCGCGTGAGCACTGCATGCGTTGTTGGCTGGAAACCTTTTAGCCAAATGTGACTAGCCAACACAATATGAGCGCCCGGTATTTCAATCAGCTGATGGCTTTGCAGTTGATTTTTCATCGGCAAAAGAGGCAGCTGTATAACCTGAGACACAATAGTAATAATGATTTCACCTCTAAATAGGCTTTCGCTTCTTACAAGCGTCAGCTTAATGAGGCCCATTTTGAAATAGGTGATGTCAGTTAATCTTCAACTGGATTAAGGTAATCTAACTTAATGAATGCGTGTTTATAATATGCTACACCATACTTCAAGAATCACACAAACCATGTTTGAAAGGCGACAGACCGACGTTTTTGCTAACCACCAAAACGCTTTGCCCAGGCTTTAACGATAACAAATGAGCTGCCTTTTGAGACAGTGGACCCATCAGTCATTGATCTATCATTCCAGTTCAAATATCGCCCTTCGTCACCACATACGACCCACGCTTGCCGCCAGCATCTTGAGACGAGGTCAGCCACCAACACAACGGGCTAACTCGAACGCAGACAAGCTCAGCGTGAGCGCAGTGGAACAGCCGCCCAAAATGGCAGGGTACCAAACTGGGACACCCCTCACTTCCTCCCTGTCCTCTGTCTGGAGCCGCCTCTGGTCTGGCGCAGCGTCCACCGGCCCCGACGCAAGCGTGCGGACCGAGATCGCCGCCACCGATAAACGCCCGAGGCGTGCCGGCGGCGGCGGCGGCGCGGCCAGAAGCCCTGCGGCTGTCAGCGGTCGGCAGCGTCCCATTCTGCGGGACGGTGGTAGCGGCGGCCAGTTGGCAAGCCCGGATGGCCGGACGACGGCGTAACGAGACGGCAACAACGCGGGTACCGCCTCGATCTGGCCGTGCCCCAGCGCTGCAGCTGGGCGCACGCACCCACAGCGAGCCTGTACTGATGGCCTCGCAAGCAGGGGCGCATCCAGGAGTGGTGCAGCGTAGGACAGCGTGCAGTAAAGCATCGTTGGACTTGCGGCTAAGACAGCACGCAGCGTCGTCTCTTGCTCGTATGTAAGCTTGCTTAGCAAAAGCTTTTGCCCAGTGCATAAGCTTAAGCACGTAGTTAATGTCGCTGACTTTGAAATGCATGCATTCCAAACCCCAAACGATCATCGGTTACTGCCTGCCAGAGGCGAACAATTTGGCGCGGCGGTTTCCATCCCGCCGACTACAGTGACAGCCAGTCCGGAGTAAGCTGGTCTCAGTGGGGGTCAGGTCGTAGAAGCCTGGCCCGAATGGCTTCTGTCCCGGGTTTGGGCGGCCGGCCCCGGAGGGGGCGGCCACGATCGGCAGTTCATCGCCGTCCAGTCGGTGGGAGTTTTAAAAAGCCAAACTGTACAGCTTAAACAGCACCGTGCAGTAACGCGGGTCAAATGATATTTAGTTTGAACTGATCGTCCTGTGGGACGGTGGTATGAACACCAGAATGTTTAACGCGATTGATAGGCTCTAGCCACGAACTTGCGCGGTGCGACGTAAAGGTGACGTGTCTTAAAATTCCGCCTTGTGGGACTTGTCACAGGACGACACGGGAGCCGGAGCGCATCCCGAGACGTGCCGGTCGGCAGCCACCTGCGGACGACGGCCGGGGGGGTGGGGGGGTCGACTGTGAGCTGTCGTCGGGGAACGAGTCGGCCCAGTCTCCGCCCGACACGGGAGCCGGAGCGCATCCCGAGATGTGCCGATCGGCAGCCACCTCCGGACTGACGGCCGGGGAGGCGACTGTGAGCTCTCGTCGGAGAACGAGTCGGCCCAGTGCCCGCCTGAGCCCGTCCCCTCCCCCCCCCCCCCCCCACCGCTGCCACTCAGGACCAGCTGAACGGGTTCGGCTGCGGCGTCAGGGCCAGGGACAGAGTACGATACGATAGGCTTGGTGCCTCGCTGTGTTTGGTGTTTGGCCATGGATAACATGCTTAGCAGCATAAAGTCGACGCTCGCACGTGTTGTCCCTCACCTGCTGAGCTAAAGCAAACCCCTGATTGTTTTGAGCCCAATTTTGCTCTGTGCGTCGGCACATATGCCATGCGAATGGTGATATACGATGTAAGCACTACACCCATTGGCGTGGGATACATTCACGCACATAATTATTGAAACAAAAAGGAGTGCTTCAGTGACAAATATCAAATTATTGGCATTGCTCCTTTATTTAAATCCTTGTCCTGCTAGGGGAGTGCTGCAACCTCCTCAGGATGTTGAGAATACCTTTCCGGAATGTTGTGCAATCACACCTAAATTTTCGGTAGCCTATGGGGCAGACATTGTTCGTGTTTTGACATGAAAAAACACGTTTCTCTCTCTTCTTATTCCGGATCAGCGGCAATTTTTCAGGAACAATGCACGGCGATCTTCGGCAGCCGCGGACGGTGGGCGGCAACTGAAATGCCGCGGAACGAGCGCGGCGGGCCGACATTGTTGCATTAACGGAATCATATACCTCATACTCAAAATGCATACACATATACACCATTGTACTCAGAGTTCAACGACAAAACGCGCCTGTTTGAGTTTCGTGTCGTCACAAGGCATGGTCTCGTAGGTATGATGTAAAGCTAAAAAGTGCGATTTTGCGGAAAATTCAACCTTTGATTGCCTCAGTGGGGCCATAAGTGACCTAAAACATGCCTAATACCAATTGCGAGATCTCGTTGACACCAAACACAGGTGTTTCTCGCTGAGCTCCATCTTTATTTGTTTGAAAACACCAGGTGGGTGGCCTCACTCCTCCCACCTCACCCCCCCCCCCCTCAGTCCGCCTTATGAAAACGGGGAATCCGGGCGAAGTTTAAAGCAACACCTGCATGGCCAATCTAAATTTTGT